TGGTAGTCTAGAAACAGTGAAGGGAAACCTTACCCCTTTATCTAGGTCCAGGCCTAGATAACTTACACAGCTTAAAAATGCAGCAGTACAAAATTACTGTAAACTTTACAGTAATATAAAACAAAATAATGTGCATCGAACATATATGAAAGTGATTGCCTGTGGGAGCTGGAAATCCGAGTGGGAAACAGGGATGAAAGGGAATAGTTGAATACTCTCTTGTGCAAAATGCAGGGCTTCTCTCTGAGGCCTCGCCTCTGGCCCTCATGCCTTGTGTCATTTCCTCTGCCTCTGAGGTCTGCAGAAGAAAGAAACTCCAGCTGCCCAGCTCCTGGGCTTGGAGAGGGGAGGAGTGGCACACAGCCTGCAGGTAATGCTGGGACGCACCTCAAGGCCACTGCTCCCAGCTCAGGTACAAACAGGCAGCAGGGAATTGTAAGAACACAATTTTTACATGGGGACCCACTGGTAGAGGATGATGATATTAAACACCCTCTTTTACAGGCAAAATTCTTTTAGTCTAAGCCTAAGTATAGCATAACAATAGTCTATGCATTTGTTCGGAGGGGTGGAAAAGTTTGGAAATGGATCATTGCGGTGATGGTTTACAGCATCATGAATATAATTAATGGCACTGACTGAATGTGAACTTAAAATGGAGAAGGTGGCAAATTTTGTTATATATATTTTATCACGATTCAAAAGTGTTAATACTGTAAATACCAAAAATCATTGAATTGTACATTTTATTTATTTTACTTTTTATCCTCACCTGAGGACATTTTTGCTTTAGTTTTAGAGAGAAAGGGAGAGAGAGAGAGACATGAATAGGAGAGAAACATCGATCAGCTGCCTACCGTATGTGCCCTGACTGGAGATGGAACCCACAACCCTTTGTGTGTGGGGACAACGCTCCCACCAACTGAATCACCCAGCCAGGGCTTGAATCATACATTTAAATGGGTGAATTTTATTGTATGTGAGTTATATCTCAACAAGGCTGCTAAAAAGCATTTTAAGCATTTGGCACTTGGGCTAAACATTGAAACCTCTCGGGAAGAGAGAAATTGTTCCTCCTGTCTGATGGATAACAAGTCAGCTTCCCTTTCACAGCGCATTAAATGCATAGATCAGGGACGACAGAAACCCAAATGTCCCAAGGTTTGGGATGCATCCAAGGTTGGTCATTTAAAAAAAATAAAAGAGGACGAATAACAAGAACCTGGCAGACGTGCTCAGTCCAAAAGTGGCAGCACTGCCAGTGGGAAGTTAAGAATTTCAGGTGAAGGGAACTAAATGGTAATGGGGAAAAATACAACAAAAAGTAAATCAAGAAAACAAAAAAAAAGAATTATCCAGTGGAAATGAAAACCACACTTGGCTGTAATTGGCTTTATTTTTGTTAATTTGTGAGGTTCAGGCCCACTCAGAATAAGCCAGTCCGCATGAAAGTTCCCAGCGCTGAATCAACTACTGCTGGGAGGGCCTGCCCAGGACCGCAGCCCAGGCCTGCCGAGTGCTCACATCACATCGCAGAGTACAGTGTCTTCAGGGAGACAGGTGCCTCTGTTTGCCCCGTACATTCCTATCTCCATGCTATTAATCATGCTGTTCCCTGCTCCTGGAATATCCTTTCTACTTGTCCACATACTTCCAAATCCTACCTATCACTCAAGGTTCAGCCGAAATACCACGCTCCCCCTTTCCTGGCACCCAGCTGAGAATCACCTTTAAAAGAAAACAAATCAGTTTTGAAATGAGGACTGCAGGCACAGTTCTCAGATACTTCCGATCAGGCGAGGTAAGGGTGGAGATCAAAAGTGTCCTAAGTGAATGTCATTGCTGGCAGGGGTAAGGCCAGCCGAGTGGTATTAAGGGACAAACACACTCACTACTTCTTCCTAGCGTTCTCACATGGTGTGAGCCCTTCTACAAGTTTAGATTCCTAGATCACCTAATGATCTTCTTTCATTACCATAGCAGGCATTTCTTGATAATTATTCATGTAATATACCAAATCATCTTCACATCCTCATTAAAAATAATGGCCTCCCTTTACAAGCCATCATTTTTCTGTAATTATTATGAGAAAAACATCTTGAATACACGGTTTTTGCTCTCTTACTTTGACATTGAACTTTTGTTGAATTCCTATTAATTGCTACTTTTGGTGGCATCCAAGAAAATATTTTCATTGCCTCTCAGTCTTTTAAAAGTCACACATGTAGAAAATGTTGGTTTTTTAAAAACAAAAAGAAACAAAATAGAGAAAAATGATGATTTTCTTTAGAAATACAAAAATAAAGGGCTGAGTCAATAATATTCCCAATTCTTTTGCACAGAGCCCTGGTGTATTTATTTACATATTTGTTCATCCATCCCTCCATCCATCAATCCATCCATTATCTATCCATTTCCTTTTTTATTGTGGTAAAATTTGTAAATGACATTATATATTTGTCAGGTGTGCAACATTATTCCAATTTTAGTATATGTCCTGCCGAAGCAAGCACGGGTATGCAACATTATAATTCAGTATTTGTATACTGTGTATGTGTGTGTGTATATACATCTTCTTTATATATATATCCATCAATGAGCACTCAGGTTATTTTCATATCTCAGCTATTGTGAATCATGCTGTAATGCACAGAGGGGAGCATATATCTTTTTGAGTGTTTTCACATTCCTTGGATAAATACTCAGAAGTGGAGTAGCTAGGCCATGTGAAAGTTCTAGTCATAATTTTTTGAAGAATCTCCCTGCTGTTTTCCAGGACACCCTCCTGGAATAGGCAGTAAGAACGAAGGCAGAGACAAGGCCCGCGGGAGAAGTTGCCTGCTCCCCGGGGAGTCGGGGAATGTGGGATACAGAGCTGCATGCCCCACGGTGGGGGTCTCCCGGGAAAGAGGGCACAGGTCTCTTTCTTCTGCTTCATCCCCCAGGTTTCTGAGGTTTCAGGCTGAGATACACACTCGTAAACTTTATTTAGAAAAATCTGTTGGTCAAAGAATCATGGAGTTTGCTTTGTTAGATTCCCACCCACCCACCCATCCACCCAGTTTGGTGTTTTCCCTCAGAAGTGTAAATTGGTGACTAATGTGTTTTCACAGTCGTGGGCCGAGGTTGACAGAGTAAAAATAGGCACCTTTTCTGTTTCTAAATGATGGAAAGAAGGAAAACGGCCCCCAACAGTTTGTTTTTAAATGAACTGTAAAACAAATCCCAGCCGATGGGACGATAAGGAGATCAGTAGTTCAAGAGATGACATTTTCATTTATTCGTATGAAATGCAAGTGTTTGTTGCAGTCTGCAGGCAGGATTTCCAGGATTCTCATGTACATGCACATATTCTGAAAGAGGGAGAGACCTTTGCTTACATGCCTCTAGAAATGAAGCTAATTTAGGAAGTGGGCAGGAAGCTAATCTGTGCATGCTCGGCCTGCATTTCACAGTTTCTGACAACCCCGGAGACTGAGGATGGAGATGGGCTGACAGAACCCACTTCCTGGTGGTGCAGTGTGGGATCTGAGGTCACCGCAGCAGGCATGCTGGGCCGTTCTCTGGATTTCTAGGAAACCATTGCTACAGTCTTTCCACCTCAGGACTTACATTAGATGTATCGGGTCCAATATGTCGCACAGACCTATGATAGGTCCCCTTATATGGGAAACAGACCTATGATATTTATAGGAGACAAACAAGTAGGACTTAAAACAAGGACAGGCTCTCGACATAGTGACTACAACAGCTATATTTACATGTGTGTAATTTAGGCGTTGTTAATTATGGCCTTCCATCTATATGTTTAGAAAGACTGCAGATAGTGTACTTTTTGGATGAGAAGGACCGTGATAAACTATATACGTACGTGTGTCTATACACATACACACATTCCAGACTAGAAGCCAATTAATATCCATGGCCTAGAACAATAATGATGCATTTTGGGACCTTAACAATTTTTTATCCTGTTTTAAAATCTAAATACGAGATTAGTCCTTGATAGTATGTTATAGTAATTGCAAGCTGCTTACCTCTCACATTTGTACCATGGCATATAGAAAAAAACTCATGCTGTTTTTTTCCCTTGGTCACACCTTGACTCATGTCATTGCACTAGATCTTAATTAATTTTTTTTAAGTTTAGAAAATAGCCCTGGCCGAGTGGCTCAGTTGGTTGGAATATTGTGCTGTACACCGGAAGGTTGCAGGTTTGATTCTCCATCAGGCACACACCCGGGCTGAGGGTTCGGTCCCACGTCGCGGTGTGTGGGAGGCAGCCCACCGATGCTGCCCTCTCACATCGATGTCTCTCCCTCTCTCTCTCCTCCCCCTTCCTCTCTCTCTCTAAAATCAATAAGCATATCCTTGGGAGAGGATTTAAAAATGTTTTCAAGATAGAGTATTAGGAAAGAACACATTATTTCATCTGTTTGTCACCATACTATGGAAAAGAAACAATTCGCCCTGAACTGTGACGTGTGGTTAGGACGCGAGGGTGAACACTCGGTGGCAGTGGGTGGCCCGCTTCCCTCCGAGAGCTTCCCGCTCTGCCCGGACCAGTGGTTGTTCCAGGTCCTGTTCTGGTGTGTGGTTCTGCCCTGTCCTCGTGGCTGGCCGGTCCAGAGCTAAACCCTGAGCAAAGAGGGGACACCATTTTCTCTTCCCTGGGGAAGTGGCCGTTTTGACACAGGAGTGTTTGAGGCAGCCAGCTCTCTAAGAAGAACATCTCCGCCTGTGTTCCGCTCATGGAGGCGCCCAGAGAGACGCCCCGGTTCACCCCGCCGGGCCTCGTGCCCGCTTCTCCCCGCACGCTGCTCACGGAGGTGCCAGGCTTCCCCCGCAGGTGCCTCCGCCCCTGGATTTTTGCTTAAGCTCTCTTTGTGTTTAGTCACTAGTAACCAAAGAACACTCAATTTAACATAACACAGCACACATGTTCAATTTGGTCTTATTTTGGCACTAACATGGAATTTCTGGTTTGTGGTAAAATGAAGATCACAGAGTCATCTCCCACCTCACACTGACCTCTCTGAAGAACTCCAGTCACAGCTGATGTGTTCAGAACTTTCCGAGGGTGAGTTAAAGCAGTGTTAGAAAGTGATTTAAGGGTTTTGTGGGAAAATGTGGGGTTTCTTAAACACCAACTTTTTTTGTTTGTCTCTTAGTAAAAAGAAAATGTCTGTTAGGCTTCTATGCCGAATCCCAGCATCATACAGGATGCTGTCTGTGAACCATCACTAAGAGCCATTCAGTTTCTTGTCCAAATGAGAGGCTTCTCTCTCCGTCAGCAAGAACACTCATGCCCACCAGCGTGCGCGCTCTCTCCGACCTGCTCAGGATGTAAAAGTCCTAAGTCATTACGTGACAGTGAGGTCTCAAAAGAACTTAAACAGCGGAAGCAGAGCAGAACTTTTTCCAATGCTCGCAGATGGCAGTAGCAGTCACAAAATATGCATTATCCTGTTCTGCCACATTCATTGGGCTGGATCATATCGTCTCAGAGACCCAGTTAACTTTGAAGAACATAATAGGTGCATATTGTAAAATGTGGGGGCAGGCGGCATAATTAGACTCTTAGTCTCTAAGTCTGAAATTCAGATGAAAGCAACAATTTTGGTTTCGTCTAACATCCAGGGTGTGTTTCCAATTAAACTGAAATCATAGTGAGCACCTTTGGCTTCTTCAAGATCTCTATCATGAGAACTAATTGTATGGTTCTGCCTCTCCCATCCCCCCTCCCCGCCCCCTTATTCTCAAAGTGCTGTTATCTTGCTCTACCTGAAAGTCTCCATCCAAGCCACAGGCAGGCACCATAGAATTTGTCTGATCTTCTTGGTGCCCTACAAGAAATGGCCCAGAACTGAAGGCGGTGTTGGGTCAGATTAGATGTGGTGACTTTGAGTTCCAGTCTGTCACTGACCAGGACACCCTTTCATTCATTTCTACCCCACCTTCCACCAAATACTTAGGGTTCTTTATCAGTCAAGTAATCGTTTATAACAGAAATACTGGAGGAATTCTTAGGCCTATCTTTTGGTGAACGTGTCTCATAAGACCACACCTTTCCTGGTCTAAATGAGAATTTCAAACATCTCCTAGAGGTTTCCTGCTTAAGTTCATGGAATGGGTCTTACAATCAGCCCCAAATGACAGTCCTCCCCGCACCATAAGCCAGACCTCGTCCAACTCCTCTTTGCATCCCTAGTACCCACCATCCTGCCTGCTATGAGGAAGCTCAATAAATATCTGGTACATAAGCATAACTTATTCATCTTTCTACTAGAACGTACTTCTCAGAGGGAGTAACCACGTGGGCTTGGATTCCACATAGGCCGGACAAATTTCATGTACAGGGAAAGAACTTAAAACATTTTTTAATACATACTTAACAAATTAAAGAAAAAGTAGCAAGTTCGGCAAATATAAAAGAGATTTCAAATACAAAGAGTCTTTAGTCAAATTGTAGAGCCCAAGCAAGGCACCTCAAAAGATCAATCAAAATACTCAGGGCTTTGTGCCCAGAACCGGATGAGGGGCCCCAGACGCTGGCCAGGAGAAACCACGGTGCACTGGGGATTTCAGGAGAGGCCTCCAGGGAGAGGTGGGACCTCCAGGGTGCAAAGGAAGACCAAGCCAGCCACTCCCACCCACCCACGGGGGTTCTGAAATTGTCACACCCTACTCTTTTCAGTTGGATGATGAGTCAAACCAAAACTGTCATCAAAGTTGCTAGGCTTTTCCCCCTGTTCTTTTTGCACCTAAAGCATAACAGTGAAAATAAAAAGACAATGAAAACCTCTGCAATAAAATCGTGCACTTGGAGGACTGACTCATTTATTGTCTTTGGCAAGTGTCCACCAGAGTTGTAACTCCAGGTCTCTCCCTACCAGGAGTTTGTGTGGGCGGAGGGGGTGGAGGAGGACTGACTTCATTCCCTCACGAGCTTTTGCTCATCCAGCCTCAGAAAACCCTCCTTTATCTAGAGTTTACACGGGACCGGGTCTAATGGAATCTCACGTAAAGTTTTAACTGTTTTTAAATAAGAAAAAATGAAACAAAAACCTAGTACTGAATTGTACATTTTAAGATGGTTAATAGTTTTAAGTTTATATTATGTGAATTTTAGCTCAATTTTAAAATAATGATTGGGGGAATCTTAATTTGCTATCTGTTAAAATCTTTCCAAGGTCATGAAATCTGTCCATCCTGTCTGTGTTTGTAAAGGCTGGACCAGGCCAAAAGGAATTTAGCAAGGGTGAGGAAGCCCTGGAACCTGAGTTTTAGTCCCAGCTCTGCTTCATTTCTTTTATAAAATACCCCTCAATTTATTTTATAAAATACCAGGATTGGAATTCCTGGTCACCTAGGTCTCTCCCAGAAGTAAACTGATTTAAAAGCAAGAGGCAGTCCTGGCTGGCGTAGCTCAGTGGATTGAGTGCGGGCCTTTGAACCAAACGATCATGGTTTGATTCCCCGTCAGGGCACATGCCTGGGTTGCAGGCCAGTTCCCAGCAGGGGCCAGTTCCCAGCAAGGGATGTACCAGAAGCAACCATACATTAATATTTCTCTCCTTCTCTTCCCTTCTAAAGATAAACAAATAAAATTTTTTTTAAAAAGCAAGAGGCAGTTACCATACATCCTCCTTCTTATCCTTCAAAAGAGATTCTTTTACCTTTCATTATTCAGTAGGTCTTTCACTGCCCACCCCACACCATGTAACAAAAGCACTAACTCCAAAGCAAATCACTTTCACTGGGTCTCCTTATCTAGGGCATATCCATTGAAAAAGCAACAGTATAACACATTCTGAGCCCCCCCAAAAAAGACTCCATAGACTCTTGCCCCCAGGAAGCATGCTATCTACTGATAACCAACCGATCATTTGTAAAAGCACAAATCACAGCACAGGTCCCCCAAGTGTTGAAGTAGTCACCAGATTGAGAGTAGAAGGAACCTGGAAAGGAGATGGATTCTGAGGCCCAGGTGCGTGGGGAAGGCCAGCAGTGCTGATCACTCAGGCAAAGGCTGGGGCCGGGCATTTGCAAAAATGAGCTGGGGACCGTCGAACAGGCCTTTACAGTCCTTTGTTAGTCCCATCTGGTGGATAGGAACTAGGGCCTGGTAGCTGAGATGTGCAGCTGTACACAATATTCTTCTTAACCACAAAGAGAGAAATGGTTACTTTATGGTGTAGAAAACTGGCAGCACCTTCTTTTTTTTTTAATTTTATTTAGTTGTTTTTCGAGTACAGTTTTTTTGTCTATTTCTCCCATCCCAGCCCCCCCTGCCCCGTCTCCCCACCTCCCTCCCATTCCCCCCCCAGTCCTCATCCCTGTGTCTTTCATACTTGTTCCTCAAAATCCCTCCCCATTTTTCCCCTTAAATTCCCTTCCCTCTCCCCTCTGGTCGCTGCCCACTTGTTCTCTGTTTCAGTGTCTTTGTTTTTATTCTGTTTGCTTGTTTGTTTTGTTGTTTAGCTTCCTGTTAAAGGTGAGATCATATGGTATTTGTCTTTCAATGCCTGGCCTATTTCACTCAGGATAATGCTTTCCAGTTCCATCCATGTTGTTGCAAAGGGTAGTAGCTCCTTCTTTCTCTCTGCTGCATAGAATTCCATTGTGTATATGTACCACAATTTTTTGATCCATTCATTTACTGACGGGCACCTAGGTTGCTTCCAACTCTTGGCTATTGTAAATTGTGCTGCTATGAACATTGTGGTGCATAGGTTCTTTGAAATTGATGTTTTAGGATTCTTGGGATATAATCCTAGCAGTGGAATTGCTGGGTCAAAGGCAGGTCGATTTTTATTTTTCTGAGAAAATTCCATGCTGTTTTCCATAATGGTTGTACCAGTCTGCAATCCCACCAACAGTGGACTAAGGACCCCTTTTCCCCACACCCTCTCCAACATTTGTTGTTTGTTGCTTTGTCTATTATAGCCATCCTGACTGGTGTAAAGTGGTATCTCATTGTGGTTTTAATTTGCATCTCTCTGATAGCTAACGATATTGAGCATCTCTTCATGTGTCTCTGGATATTCTGTATGTCCTCTTTGGAGAAGTGTCTGTTCAAGTCCTTTTCCCATTTTTTAATTGGGTCTGGCAGCACCTTCTTATCCATGGATCAAAGTTAAAATCAAGTGATAGAGTACAAATTGGCATCATGTGCTCCCTGATATTGAGAATTCTGTGGAATTGCTGCCAGAAGTACCTAATCTGATTTTAATCATAAGGAAACACCAGGTAAACCCAAACCAAAAGACAGCTCTTCAAAAATATTATCATGACAGAAAAAAAGAGAGACTTCTTTCATTTAGTGTAATGTTTTCAAGATTCGTCCATGTAGCAGTATCTTATCAGTACTCCATTCCTTTCAATGACTAAATAATAGTCTGCTTTATGGATATGTCGTATATTATGTGTTCATCAGTTAATGGACATCTTGGGTTTGGGCTATTAGGGATAATGCTGGTGAGAACATTCATGCACACATTTTTGTGTGGTCACATGTTTCAGTCCCCCTGGCTCTGTGCATAGGAGTGGAATTTCTGGCTCACACAGGGCACCACCAGGGCTGCCGTAACCAAGCACCACGGATCAATTTCCTCTCAGTTCTGAAAGTTAGACGCCCGAAATCAAGGGGTCGGCAGGTTTGGTTGCTTCTGTTCCCTTCAAATGCGACCGCAGGCAGAAAAGTAACTTTTCTTTTTCTAAAATTGTTTACTTTGATGAGAGAACTTCTAGGGATATTGTCATGTTGACAAAAAAAGATGAAAGGAAAAATGGGCGTGCACATAAACAGAAAATTCCTTTCTTCCACATGTGGTTAATAACCATTGAAAACTTCAGAATCTTTATACTATTGGTGCTTTCTAAGAAATCAGTGAATTAAAAAGAAATTCAGAGGCTGAAAGAATTTTAACGTAGTTTTATTGTATTTATTTATTTTTAAATCCTCACCCAAGGATACGGTTATTGATTTTTTTAGGGTGGTGGGGAGAGAAAGGGAGACAGAGACATTGATCAGTTGCTTCTTGTATGTGCCCTGACTGGGGATCGACCCTGCAAC